ACCATAGGAGTGCCACCATGCCCAGCTGGAGAAGTAAATACTGTTAACTACAATCTCCCATATGTATAAATAAAATAGAACATTTGTGCTGGTGTGTGAACTAGATCCTAACCTTCAGACTTAGTGTCAACCAGAACTTCTCTACCAGCTGGCCATTTATTTGTGAGACAATACAGGCAGCAGGTGAGATTTGTTTTTCAGACTTTTCAGCCTCTAACACTGATGGCACTACCTTCCAGGCACTGGTCTAGGTGCTCGTTAATCTGTGACTCCACAACGTCAGTCTGACACACTGGACAGCTGACCAGCTGACTCTGACTGCGTAAGCTGCTGGAACTCTGAGTTGTAGCTGTAAAGTGTGAACTACTATTTGGCTCACTCCTATCACTTTGTAGTTGCTCTTTCTTCATAAAGGTGTCAAAAATGCTTTTGTCTTCTAGCCTGGGTCGTTTGCCTGGGAACTTGTCTTTGGACCCATGTCCATACTGGGGTGCAGTTACAGATGCCGAGGCCATCACTTGGGAGGGACTTCTCAGGGATGTCTTAGAAGATGGTACCTTCCTTCAAGACCTAGAAGAGACTGAGTGTTTAGTGATGTCACGAATGGTTCCATTTTTCAATTGGGATCCGTTCACACTTCTGAAAGCCTTTTGGTTGGCAACTGAGACTCTGGGAAAGTAGGTGCTTAGGACACTTTGGTGTACAGGAGGGACTCGATGAGATTTTTCACTTGAACCATTCTGTTTGAATTTCACCTCGGTGGTAGAATCAGGTCTTATAGCACCTGCTGAATTGTCCTGACTTGAAAGATCGTGGGATTCATTGATGGCACGTGAGGCAATCGATTTCCCAGATGAAGATGGATTCCTCACCTCTTCCAGCATATACCCTTTCTCACTGAAAGGGATTAGCGGTCGAGCCTCACTTCTGTTGGGCTTATCTTTATTCTCCACTGTTGATATAGGCTGCTTTGTCTTTCCTTTTGCGGAGTAATTTTCTGGTTCCTTGATTTTTAATTGCCTCCACAGGCTTTCTGGTGCTCAGCCCACCAGGAGTCATGTGCAGAGGGTGCCCTGTTGGTGGCACGTTTCACATAGCCGCAATATGGCTGTTTGTGCTGATATGGCCCATTGCAGCGCCACCAGTGTCGGCGGTACTCCTCCACCTCATTGTGAAATGTGTGGTATATGGTAATATTGGCTCCAGTCAGGCGATTGATTCGATGCCTATGTTTACAAAACTCTGGACCATGTCCTTGCCGGTCTTTATCATTATTAGTGGTAAATAAATAGGCATGTAACATTTCATGCAAGAGAGTCTCTACAAGATCTTTTCTTGGTCTGAACTTTAAAAGGGGTTCACTGACACGGATGGAACACATTCCGCCACTGCCTTCATGGCTGCAAATCCCAGCACACAGTGTCATGCGCGGGCTCCACTTCACTTCCACGGCCTCCAGCCGGCCCCAGAAAAAGCTGTCGTTGAACTGCACGAATAGGCCCTGCAGGTTCGGGGTGGGGTCCACCAGTTCCCAAGACGCGTCCACCAGCGACAGGGTCTCCCGCGCTGCGCGCTTGGCGGCCCGCACATCCCACTCTTCCTGCAGCCGCAGCGCGACCATCAGGTTCTCATCCATCGCGCTGCCAGTTCCCTTCACACCCTCGACTACACCGGCTTCAAGAGACCTCGGGCCCCCCTTCTGGGCGAGCGCGGGCTCGTCCGGAACATCAGCACTAGGATGCGGGGCCTTCGCAGCGAAAGGTAGCACAACACCAACTGCAGGCAGTGGCTGGGTAGGGTCTCACAAAACCGGCTACCGCCTTTACTCCTCACTGATAGTCTCACGCCCTACGTCACGCTCCGGCTAGGCGCAGATCCCAGCCGGCTCCTAGTTCCACAGGGATGCGCACGCGCCTTAGTCCATTACCGTTTCCTCGCTGGTGTCACAACCGTGCTCAAGTCCAGCGCAGGCGCAGTGTGCGACTCCCCCATTATCACTTTCTAGCAGGTATCTTCTTTTAAAGTTATAAAAGTATTGCTGAATGTTATCTTTTAAAGTGACTTAATTTTACAAATTATTTCTTTTCTCAAAGAAACAAAAATAATTTTTTACCTCTAGAAAACTAGGAAACTGTGTAAGTACACCAAAATATTTTGAACTCTATGGATCATAATTTTATTGAAAGTTTTCTACACTATATGTTTTTCTTATAATATATAAGAAAAAATTTTATGCTCAGGTTTTTCCAGTATTATCTAAACATTCTTAAGATTAAAATTAATGTTCATCACTTTAAGCTTTTTTAAATTAGGAAGATGGTTTAATATTGGAGACAAGCAAAAAAATGCATCGCTGAATAATATACCATATATTACAAAAATAAGTTTGACTGTTTCAACTGCATGGTCATCTTCACAATGAGGACAGAAGAATCAGAAAAAATTTTGGTCTGAACAGCAAAGAAGCAAACCCCTAAAGCTTAACCAATACATTTATTCACTGGAATTGACTATTTCTAAATCTAATTACTTTATTGTATAACAGCACAATACAGAATAAAAAGTGAAACTTACCACTGCATTTTAAAACAAAAATCTAATATTAGATGCAAGCAAAGGGAAAAAAAGAAATTAAATCTGATGATAATTAGCGTGATTTCAGTGCAGGTGTAATATATTCAATAACAACATAATTGTTAATTTTGTACTATATTTAATAAAAGGTTCTACCCTTGCCTAAGTTAATTTCCAAGTACTCAGCATCCCAATTTACCCCTGTAGGATTTTCCTCATTAACTTGAATATTCTGTACATGTTTCATTTTTTCGATTTAATGTGTTTTCTCTTTCTTCTTCTGTTTTTTGGTACCAGGGATTGAACTTGGGTCCTTGCTCTTGCGCAGCAGGTGGCGAAACCACTGAGCTAAATCCCAGCCCTCTCTTTGTCCTTTTTAAAATTTAGCAGATACATATTTTCCCTCAAAGTCTATGTTACAAATATATTGCCCTTGTCATTTTATCTCAGAACTGGTGAAAAGAAGAATGTAGCCTGGAAGATTCTTCCAAAGAAGCCATGTAAAAATCTGATGAACACACTGAATAATTTGCACCAGCAGCTTGCTAAATGTAAGTAGATAGCTTAAAGGGTAAAATTTAATATGAGAAAGGGATTTGTGTTACTTACGAAAGAATTTATCTGAAGGAAAATGTTTTTATAATATTTAAGGCAAATGAGCATTAAAACAAAATTTGTTGGAAGCTGAATGGGAGATTGCAAAATAAGTATTTTGCATCCACCAAATTTTCAAAGAACCATCTTAGAATAATAAAACTCAGAAGTATATTAAGGTGGTTGTTTTGCTTAATTCTACCATTATTGAAATAACATGGAAAAAATAAAAGGTTTCATTGTATGTTTACGTCATACATACGATTAAATTAGTTTTGAAAATCTAAGTGAAATGGTTTGAACTACATTAGGAAAGGGTGATGATTTCAGTGGGGCAAGAGGTAGCTCAGGTTTTTCACCATCAGTGTCTCAATCCTGTTCTCACTTCAGGTAGTTTGAAGAAAAGTTTGCTAAAAGCTTGAAGAAATTAAAATTAAAATTGATTAGGATATGAAGTATTTCAGAAAGAATTATATAAAGAATATAATTTGATAGCAATCTAGAATTACTAATAAAAACAGTTAAGCCTTTATTTCTTTATCTGATTCTCTTGGTATTATAACCGAGGCTCATTCAGAGTCTATAATTTAATACTGATTTTTCCCTGGGAACTTCATGCTGAGCTACATCCCCATCCTTTCTCAATTTTTAGAATTTGGAGACAGGGTATCACTTACTAAGTTGCCCACACTAGGTTCAAAGTTTCAGTCCTTTTGCCTCAGCTTCCCAGAGTGCTGGGATTACAGATATGTGCTGCCATGCCCAGCTAATCTAGTCTAATACAGTACTTATTTTTGTGACACGTGGTCAGTAGTGATGTAGCAATTTGTAAGGTTCTCATTTGTTACTGAAACAAACATAGGAAGTGGCCTACACCTTTGAGGGTTCAACATATTTATAGTATAGTTAGAAATGGAATGGAAAAAGACAGTGTTTACAAAGTAAATTTGATAACAAGTAGATAATTCCATGGTAGCTCAAAAATACTGGGATATTTTTGATTATGCATAACTGTAATCCCAGCTACTGGGGAGACTGAGTCAAGAGGATTGCATATTTGAGACCAGCCTGGGAAACTTAGTGAGACCCTATCTCAAAATAACATTTTTGAAAAGACTGGGGAGGCAGCTCAAGGCCCTGGATTCAGTGCCCAGTTTTTGTTTTTGTTTTTATTTTTAAGTATTGAGATGTGGAAAAAAATGATACCAGTATAACAAGATTTTATTTTATGAAACAAATTATATATTTAGTAGCTTTCTAGAAGTACTTGTACTTTTGAAAAACTGACAAGTTCAGCAGCTATTGTAGCAATATTTAAGTATTTAAAATCAAAGAAGTACCCCATTCAGCTCTAGTAAAGGGCAGAATCTTAAAGGTTAAAACTATAGACACTTAAATAATATAGTACTAGTACTTGAGTGTTGCATTAGTTTGTATCTAAGAGCACTTTCACATACATTCTTCTTTTATAGTTACAAGTGTGAGGGTAAATGTTGAGGGAAGTGAAGTAGCTTGTCACAGATCAGTTAGCCAGGATGATGCTAGGATCAAGACGTAGGCCTTCTGGTTCCAAAGCCATGTTCTTTTTTTTTTTTTTAAGTTTATTGGTACATTTT